AAGCCCATTAGTCAACAGGAATCGTCGAAGGAAAGAAATGAAGGCTGACAAGAATCTGTAACAGAACGTAACATATTATGATCCATTCTATTTTTAAATATAATTTTAATTAATTGTAACGTTTGAAACAATAAAAGATAGATTTTTACTGAACGTAAAATTTTAATAGTATGATAATACTCAGTTCAAGAATCAAAAACTTAAACTTGTTAAATTTTCAATTAAATTCTATTTTTTGTTTAATAACTATTTATGTAAAATAAATGGCATAGAATTAGTTGAAATATAAAATATAAATAATTACTTACACTCTTGGCTTTTAGTGCATCATTACATCCTTTCCAGGGAACGAAACAGAAGGAAGGAGTAGTAACCTTTAACAGAGTACAAATTATTACATTACTATTACAAACTTGAAATGCAATGATGATTGTTCAAAAAATTTGGGACAATAGAATTTTAATAATAAAAAAAAATTGAAAACAAATTTTATTTTTTAATTAATAATGAAGCGAAATATAAGAAATAAAATTAATTGAAAAGCAATATATAAAGATTCTTACATGTTTAGTTTTGAAGCACTAGCATCTCCTTCCCAAAAAACAGGAAAAAATGGTAGTTGTGAAAAATCTGTAATAAATGGCGTGATATTAGAATATATTCTTAAGAATATGCATAGAATAAAATACATTGAAATATAATATATAAAGATATTTACATTCTTGTGCTCCAGGAGAGGCTGTATCCTCTTGCGAGACCTCCGACTCTACTACTGAAAGCAAATATTTAAAAAAAAAAAAAGAAAATAAAAGACTATAGCACATCCGTTTATAACAAAAATTATATTCGGCGAACTCACTGACTCTAATTTCGCGTATTACATTATATTCTAATTAAATTTAATGAGAGCTATTATGCTCTAAGAAATATTGATAATTACATGACGGAATAAACACTGACTCTAACAACCGCATTACGCACGGCCACAAAAATTCTCTCAAAAAGAAAAATTTTATTATAGGAAAAAGGATAAATAAAATGTTTGCTTAGGAAAATACTGCTTTTCCAAAATAATCAGTCCCATATTATATATTTATTTATTACAGATGAAGAATTATCATACTGAAATTGAAATTGAAGTATTATCATATGAAATTGAAATTGAAGAATTATCATATGAAATATTTAATTAATACATTCATGATATTATCAAATATTTATGAATGTTCGTAACACAAATGATTTATTAAACTTATACTTTGAATGTCCATCATTAGAGATCAAATATACTATATCTACTTTGACCGCCATATTTGATTTGTTTGAAATATTTGATTTCAAACAAACCAAATATGGCGCATTTTTATTGTCTGCGCAGTAATGAAAAGACGCGATGCGCAAAAAATAACCGTTAGCGTCTATTTCCGAAAATTATTTGTCAGAAATGTATATGAATTGAATATCAAATAAATGTCGTCAATTGTTCAATAATATAAGACAATAAATGTATAAATACGTCCACCTTCATTAAAATAAGTCAAATGTTGCCATAACTCCATGAATTTATCGTCCTTCATCGTGGCGTCCCTCTATTGTTCCGAGGTTTCTTCCGCAATCACCACTTATCTGTACAAAAGAAAATCAGAACCATCAAATAGATGTATAAAATGAACGAATTATATAAGAACTGAACAATGATCAAGGTGAAATGCCGTTTTGGAAGGTCATACGACTACGAACTACAAGTGACGATTCAAGAAAGAGATAATTTAAGTATAAATTGTAATATTCGAACTACTATTAATGTAAAACGTACGTTAATTACACAAAATTTATAATAGCGTGGACAAATGATGGAAAGACAACGCTGAACGACGTATTACACAGTTAATAAATGTGTCGGTTCGCGACACGAACCGACACGTCTAAAAGCCACGAACTTCAGTTGCACAATGACACTTCGCGCCAAAAAATACGTCATACCTAATATCGTGGGGGTGGGGGAGGCATGACTGTGCACAACCAGAATTTGTAAAAAATCATTCGAGAATGTTCTGAATTTTAGCTATAAATACAATGAACATTATAATGAACATCTACGTATACGCTTATTTAATTAAATGAAGTAGAATTAATTGATTAATTATACAAAAATACGTCTCTCTTGTACTTTATTGTGTTAATGCACAAATAAAGATTTGAAACAAACCAAATATGGCGCATTTTTATTGTCTGCGCAGTAATGAAAAGACGCGATACGCAGAAAATAACCGTTAGCGTCTATTTCCGAAAATTATTTGTCAGAAATGTATATGAATTGAATATCAAATAAATGTCGTCAATTGTTCATTAAAATAAGAAAATAAATGTATAAATACGTCCACCTTCATTAAAATAAGTCAAATGTTGCAATAACTCCATGAATTTATCGTCCTTCATCGTGGCGTCCCTCTATTGTTCCGAGGTTTCTACCGCAATCACCATTTATCTGTACAAAAGAAAATCAGAACCATCAAATAGATGTATAAAATGAACGAATAATATAAGAACTGAACAATGATCAAGGTGAAATACCGTTTTGGAAGGTCATACGTCTACGAACTACAAGTGACGATTTAAGAAAGAGATAATTTAAGTATAAATTGTAATATTCGAACTACTATTAATGTAAAACGTATGTTAATTACACAAAATTTATAATAGCGTGGACAAATGATGGAAAGACAACGCTGAACGACGTATTACACAGTTAATAAACGCGACACGAACCGACACGTCTAAAAGCTACGAACTTCAGTTGCACAATGACACTTCGCGCCAAAAAATACGTCATACCTAATATCGTGGGGGTGGGGGAGGCATAACTGTGCACAACTAGAATTTGTAAAAAATCATTCGAGAATGTTCTGAATTTTAGCTATAAATACAATGAACATTATAATGAACATCTACGTATACGCTTATTTAATTAAATGAAGTAGAATTAATTGATTAATTATACAAAAATACGTCTCTCTTGTACTTTATTGTGTTAATGCACAAATAAAGATTTGAAACAAACCAAATATGGCGCATTTTTATTGTCTGCGCAGTAATGAAAAGACGCGATGCGCAGAAAATAACCGTTAGCGTCTATTTCCGAAAATTATTTGTCAGAAATGTATATGAATTGAATATCAAATAAATGTCGTCAATTATTCAATAAAATAAGAAAATAAATGTATAAATACGTCCACCTTCATTAAAATAAGTCAAATGTTGCCATAACTCCATGAATTTATCGTGGCATCCCTCTATTGTTCCGAGGTTTCTTCTGCAATCACCACTTATCTGTGCAAAAGAAAATCAGAACCATCAAATTGATGTATAAAATGAACGAATTATATAAGAATTGAACAATGATCAATGTGAAATGCCGTTTTGGAAGCTCATAGTACGAACTACGAGTGTGTGTGACGATCTAAAAACACAAAGAAAGAAGTAATTTAACTATAAATTGTAATATTCGACCAACTATTGATTTCAAACGTACGTTAATTAAACGAAATCAGTAGTAGCATGGATAAATGATGGGAAGACAATGACGAACAACGTATTACACAGTTAATAAACGCCACACAAGCCAACACGTCTAAACACTACGAACTTCAGTTGCACAATAACACCCCGCGACAAAAATTACGTCACACCTAATTTCCGTAGGAGAGGGGAGTGGGAGGGCCATGACTATGCACAACCAGAGTTTGTAAACAATCCTTTGAGAATGTTCTCAATTTTAGCAATAAATATATCACACATTATAATTATGATCTACGTATACGCTTATTTAATTTAATGAAATAGAATTGATTGATTAATTACATAAAAATTATTACACTTGTTATACTTCTTATACTTGTTTTATACTAAATGTTCTCACATTTTGTATTAATGCATTATATTTATTCACCTATTTATTCATATCTATTTATAATCACAATAATCGTATTGTTCATCATAATATTAATCTGAAGTATTTTATATAGCATATATAGCCTTAATAAATTAAATTTCAATAACATATAATATAATAAATTAAATTTCAATAACATATAATAATGTAATAATCTGGATTAATAAATAATTATTATTTTGAAATTATTATTATTAAAATACTATATACTAGTTCTAAGAAATACCAATGAATATTTCAAATTAATTATTTTTCTATACTAAAAATCTTTTATGAATTCAAAATCTAGTTGATATTGATCGTACTTAATACAATTCCAAATAAAACCAAATTCGTTTTATGCCCTGTTTGAATGTTCTTAATTTACGCTTCTCAATCCCTTCGTCGAAACGAGTGGGAAAGCTTGTGCTTTAAAGCTCGTTTTCCCAAACAGAATGAAGCTCACGAGAATAGGATAGAAAGGGTACGTCTCAAATCTGTATTGTTGTCCTTTTGATGTCCTCAAAGCTGGACCACACCAGGCTTACACTGGTAAACGTTCCGGTAAACGCAGGGAGGCATCAGCAATAAATTTCCACAATGTAGTTTCATCATTTATTATCCTCTATAATCAAATTACTTATATTTCAGTTTTATATGCGCATTTTCATGTACATTCACTAGCTATATTTGAATAACTGAGTAGAACACTAGCAACTTAAACGAAATTTGCAACTTTTATATTTTGAAACAAAAAGTATTTTAAGGAATACATATTGTAGAGAATGTCTAATCTTTTTTAAATTCATTTGTGGAGTTCAAAATGAAGATAACAAAATTGAAAGTTTCTACTTTACCTTTTGTTTAAGAATTTGTGCGGTATTTTTAATACTTTTTAGATTAAACTTATTTTGTTCTGGAAAGTTCATAAAATTATAATATGCAAATGGAAATAACAGCCTATTTCCTATTTCTTCCTAAGTTTTATAAATTCAACTTATTTCTATATTATAGAGTTTAGAATAAAAAAAAATCGAAATTGGAAAATAGCTTATTATTATGACATTTTATAATTCCTAAATAAAAATATTAAATATCGACACATCAGAGAAATAGAATTTTCTCAAATTAGATTCACATATGTTACTCTTTCTCTATGCTCTCGAAATAAAATATCTATTTAAAAATATACTTAATATATATCCATTCTTTAATAAAATAAGATAAAATCATTGATGAAAATTTCAATTTTTTAACAAAATGAAACTGTTGATGAAAATTCAGCTCAAAAATAATCTTTTTACTACTATTATATAAAATACTTTTCATAAGGACATTGTGCGGGAACGGATGGTCGGAATACCAAACACAATTTACCGAAGACCGAGAATCAAGAGCCATCCCTGTATCCTCTAGAATACAGTGGACATTAGAGAGGTAGTCGCACAGGAGGTTTATTAAGCTTATTAACGGACTATACAAGGGTGGACGTACATATCTACGTCGGTGGTCGTGGAAAGTATGGCTAGCCAGAAGGGGCACAAGGGTAGAAGATAATGGTACGTGTGTGTGCCTTGCTCTATCCCTTCATTCGTTTTATACGGCAGAATTCGAGATCTCGGCTTGTCATACCTATAATTATCACTTTCCTTTGCGTTATTTCCTCTCTGTCTAATTAATTTCTATCTTCTTACTGTCTTCAAGTATCAAATTTAGTTCAATTTACGCTGAAATCAAATCAGAAATTTTAATTAATTATATGGTCAAAAGAGAATCTTACGTAGAAAATTCAAAATTAGCTGTTTACAGTTAACTTTACGTACCGAGTGAAATTTCATTTTCTGTAAATTTCCTATTTTATGAATTCTTTCTGAAAAATTTTTAAACTTTCTTAAACCTTTGAATTAAATGAATTAAAATTTTTTATAATTTAACTTATAAGAAAAATTAAATATGCATAAAAAAGCTCCAGAGTGTAAAGTTAGTTAAAGTCCTCATATTCGTTATTACAATAATAAAAATATTTTGCCTTTCTTAAATTTTATTTAATATAATATACAAGAGAATAACAAGTATGATAACTATGAAAAAGGGCAGATGTCGATGAAATTAAAAAAATATTACGATAATAATAATCATACAATAATTTATCTTCTAAATTAACCGCCCTCTTTCATAGGCTTGTTATATTCCTTGACTGCATCCCCTTCCTATAATCGCGTGGCCACCCCAACGAGTATTATTAGCTGCACGCTTTGCAATTGGATTAACGGAAGCGGAATTGCATCGACGGAAACGGAAACGGTATGGATTGTTTCGCATAGTCACGAAGGCCTACCACTTTTGCTTGTTTCATCTAATGGAAATACTTGGCAGTACCATGAGACAACCATCGTTGAATCACGATAATTTTAAACTTTATTACATGTATCATTAACTAAGTTTCTATCTCTTTTAAATAAAGATTATAAAGGCAATGAAATTTCAAAATTCTATCCTGTACTAGGTTTTTGTTCTTTAAAAAGAACGAAATGAACTGTTTCAACTGAGATTTCGAGTAATTAATTTTCAGTACAATAGTCATTGCTGCTTATGATTGTTTTCCACATTCCTAGATTTCATGTTTAATAATTTACTAATTAATAGTATTAGTGATTTAAGATTATAATATAATAGTTTGGAATCAAATAAAGTTGCAAATATATATATAAGCAAAATCTGAGAAAATTTCACAACATACCTAATAGAATTAGTGTAGAATCTACGAAAATCTTTACAAAAGTTCTTTAATTGGAAGATATCAAATAAGATAAAATAAATTAATATGAATGAGCAAACGACACGAGAATGCGTGAATATAAGAACAAAGAGGAAACAGATCGCAGGTACTAAGGGACGAAGGAACTAAGGGTCGCAGCTTTGGGTTTTACAGAAGAGAGGAAGAGAGGTTGTCTAATCGCATCCCTAGTCCTGATTTAGGGCGGGATTTTAATTACAAAGGGTCAGTAAGTGCGGCTGTCCACTTGCTGTAAGTATTTCTCCCTTATTTATAGTTCATTAGCTTAGCTTTTATGCAAAAGGCAAATTAACTTACATCTCTTCTTTGTTAGTTATACGATTCCTTCCTTGAGACAAAATTTGAAATATAAATAAAATTTTCTCATAAAATGATAAAATTTAAACTTTCTTATATTGTTATCATTATTTTTCTGAATTTATCGTATCAATTACGATATCTTTTTCCTATTAAAACAATATTTCAAAGCTAATGAAAGTATATCTGTGTGGAGAAGATTATTTTAATCTCGTGTACATGATTAATGAGTTCGAACGTATCGCATTAAAAATTCATCGACTACCGAACCTATCAGGGAGAAATTCTTTCTACAACGAGACACTTTTTTCTGAGAATTGAGCTATCGATAAGCATGTTTTACAAAGTCCTTCCGGTGGCGCTGGAAGTGACTCGTTTCCAAGTGATATTGCCATCCAGATAAAAAACGTAAAAAAAAAGTTTCTGTTTTTCCCTCCACGCGTTAATTTGTTATCTTATGAACTCATTCATCATATGAAGCGTCACAATCTGTTATTTTGAAGATTTTACAATTTATTATTGAGATTCTACAAGTTATTATTAAGAAAAACAAGCAAACGGATTAAAATAAAACGATATTACTAAACGTTTACTCCAAAAAATCCTATCTTAATTAATCGTTACTCTATAGAACAAAGAGCAATATATTCTATCTAGTGTACTCCGAATCACGAGTTAAACCACCATACGTTTGGTACAATCTTTTTATTGAAAAGAAATGAATCATTCAATTAAGAGAAAAACAACATCAGAAGAAAAAGTTCAAAAAAGTAGCTAAATTCGTAGAGAAATCAAATAAAAAGTAATCGGAATTATATACATCGTGGTCGAAGAACCATAAATACACGTGACAACTGCGATAGGTCTGACCGGCGTCTTTCGCGTAAGTAATTGCGGTTTCACAACACGACACGCAGACCCGATTTTTGCGGTAGATCGGTGTGAACTCACAAAACTGATCGGCGAGCTGTCCCTCGACTACGCTTCTCGCTTTTAAAGACAGAGAGATAAGAAAACGCAGGTAAAATCGGCCACGGGTCAAAGCACCGTGCCACTTCCGAGGGGTTAATTACATTCTTGCGAGCCTCGCACGAACGAGTGAAACCGCATTTTGCTTCCTCGATTGCACTTTAACAGACCACAGTGCAATAAACGGTAGCGTTGCGGGAACACGCCGTTGGAGACCTTTAAAGCGCCTTATACCTTTTCGCCTAGTGTGTTCTGGGAAAATTCTTACCAGCTTCTACAAACTTGCACATCAAATATCTCCATATCGATGCGTCGAGCTTGATCGTTTGACTTCATCGATTGATTACAGAGGCTACTCGAGGCAACAGCTACTTGATTACAGCTTGTTTGATAATTTTCTGGAATTTTGATGTTCTTGTACTGAAAATTGATCAGATGATCAGGTATCATGGAAGATGAATGTAAACATAACATGGAAGAACTTTAGATACTTCATTGAACAACTACAAAAATAGTACAGATATCTACTTTTATCTAAAGCTGAGGATTTAAATTTCTAAACATAAGTTTAATAGACCAAAGATAGTTTTACAAAATTTTAGTTGGATTGCAGCTTGCAATGGCTGTTGAAGATAATAGTTTCCTACATACCTGGTGAAGTACAGACTGGTGGGAGGTCACCGAACAAAGTTCAAAAAAGAAAAAAGGCCACGGAGGCGAAAAAGGAGGAAGGTTGAAGGTGGCGGTGGTACGAAGGAACAAAATCCCGAAGGTGGGGCAAGCGATCCACGATGCGGGAGAGTGAAAACGCCCCCACCTGCTTCCCCAATCACAGGCTCCGCCTCCAGAAAGCCGCATGACGTCACACAGACACTTGTTGGTACGCCTTGCTGGTACATTGGATTGCTACTTGGGCCTTGCTAACCTGGAAAAGTCACCCTTTTCAACCCTTACTGGTTTATGGCTATCTTTGTCTGAATTTCAAGCTACAAGAATGGAGATATTGTCTCTTATTATTTTGTCTCTTTTCAATATCCAAGTTTTATATGATACTATTTGAATAAGACACTGTTGAAAAAACAGTTAGATGCTTACCAATCTTCTTCTATGATTAATTTTCATCAGATGTTAATCTACTAAAATTAGAATACTTTAGTATTTTATTTATTTTGAAACAGTAGGATAACTAAAATTAAATATACTTAATTTACTAACCTGTATAGAAAAATCTCCCTTTTCATTGTTTTTTTTAAATTTATTCTCCAACCTGCAAAAGTCAAAATATTCTATGTTATTACGTTTATTTTCACTATTTAAATTTCACAGAATTCTGTTTTATTAAAACATTAAAATAAGAATAAAAGTTAGGTGGGAAGACAGCCATGTTTGAATTTCCTTTGCATTCCAGAAAACTAAATCTTTTGTAATAACATATGCAAATATTTTCCTGTTATATACTAGGAATTCCTAAAATCCCCGACTGTTCGACTACCAATTATTTCAAACAAGGATAAGAGTCTCTCCAACAAGTCTGTACGATTACGATATCGCGGGTACCGAAAGATTGGCTCGCTTTCGAAAATAACACGATAACATGGGGAATTTAGACGATACTACTTCCTCCTTATCGGTGTTACAACTAGTCAAAAGATTATATAGAGAAGCGACTAATTACCACGAATTGACTACGTTGGAATATTACATTAACGTCATTCCATTTGTACATTTTAAACATATCGACGATAATTGGTCGAATCGGACTTTGATTAGATGCAAAATCGAGCTTTACTGGAATATGCAAATATATTTACAAATGGATACAATTATAGATAGCAACTACGATGACACATGGGATTTTCCGTAAATTCGCAACAGCTATGAAACACGCTGCATTTACCTACCTTTCACGGTATCGAGTGATGTTCGATGCATTTTTTTTTTTTTCTATATTTATATATTCATTGATAGATTATATTTTTTGATTTTACATAAACGAACATTGTTTTCAAAATTTCCTATAAACTAACTTAATTATTTTTAATCTGATTCTGAATACTTAATCCATTATCATCATATCTGTACGATTTATGCAAAACTTGAAGTTAACGAATGGTCACGTTCTAACGCCACGAATAATGATGCAATGTTACTTCGAGCTAACCTAATTGTTTTAAGTACAGCGAATATATATATACTTACCTTCATAACATTTCCCATATAGATATGTATATAAATATACCTATAACTTCAGATTTGAATGATTTAACGCAATTTTTCACTCGTGATTACAAGGAGCTGTAATTTTTGAAACGACAATTTGTAACATTCGAGCAACTACATGTGGTGACCAACACTTGTTGTTTCGAGAACCGTAATTATCGTAAACATATCGAACGCCCTATCGATTGAGATCACTGTTCCCTTCCGTGCGTGGCGCTGCCTAATATAACCTAATTTGCTCTATCAAATCACATGTGTTTCGTTAAAAAAACTAAACTGAATAATATAAAAGAGAAATAAACAAAAAGTGTGATCGATTAATTTAATTCTGAGATGCCAATACGATATACATACCTATCATTCGATCAAATCATCGACCAATCATTTACCAATCGATATAATCATTTCCCACGACTGATGCAACTTTCCAGTACTTAAACAGTATGACAGATTTGTCGGAAGTTGGCGAAAAACTTTCCACGTGAAAAAGTAGGCTGTGCACATATACATATGTATATAAATAACCGGAGAAATACAAAAACGCGAACACTGGTCAGAAAACCAGAGTGCATACGATCGGAGGGCGGGCGATCTAACAGTGGGGATATGGTAATGTGGCAGCGCGGCGGGAGGACGATGTCGACGGTGGGGAGCTTTGGAATTGCAAGGCTTAGGCCGTCCCGGGCCGCTTACGCGGAACACGCGGCTGAAGCCGCGCCGCCGGCATTACGTCGCGCACCGTCGACCGCGACTGACGTTCCTATAATCGTGTCTCACTTTCAACACACTCCGCTCCAGCGCGCTGTGTTTACTCGAATTTATAAACAAAGCTGACCGACGATCGTGTTTGCTGACGCCACATCGAATCTCCGTCTCAAAAAGTGAAAGTTTTTTTCCAGTCATTAAACCAACCGGTATTACTGAAACGAAAACATCGGCGTACCTGTCGTAATTTGAAGCTTCGAATACAGTTAAAAACGTGTTGCGTCATTGACGAGTGATTATGTAGATCGATAATGAATCTTCGATAGATCGTGCATCAATTGAAGAAGTGACACCTCGCGGACTAATAGTGCATTAGCAGGAAAGAAACAGTTTTTTTATTGGAGGTGTTACGTCGTCATTCGATAGCATTGTTATGGCCTATGACGTTGGCGGGAAACGAACGAGTTAGAAGCTGCCATGATGGAATTTGGAGAAATTTCAAGAACGCCGAGGATAGTTCGTATGTGTTGTGAGATACGATGAACCTGTTGGTAAGTATCGTGGATTGCCGTCGCGTGGACCAGAAGCGGGAAAGCAACTGCTGGAGGAGAAGTTACTGGTAGCCAGGAAAAAAAGGTAGCGAGTTCCGGTGGTGTGCATAGATCGAGGAGGCAAGTGAAATCACGACGTCTTGCTCGGAGGGTGCGTGTTTGGGCGACGAGGGGCGGCTACTGGCCGATGGGATGCATCTACCGGTGGGTTCTGTGGGCTGCGGGGAAAATTACGCCACCGTTGGATCCCACGAAGGCGCCGGCCCGTGCGGCCCCTCACTGGCGCCTCTCCAGGGGGTGAACACCAGGTACCAGCAGGCCGACGACGCCGACGCCGGGGGTGGAGGTGGCGAGATGAGCGAGGGTGCCGCCGTCGGCGAGCTGTGGTGGACCGAGAGACTCGTCGGCGAGGCACAAGCTGAACATCCTGGTGAACTAGTACGAACAGGTTTGTATAACTCTTTACGTTTAAGCTGTTAAATCATCATCGCTGCAATAATCATCACTGATTATTCACAACAGATTTGTAAACTGTATTTTTAGCAATTTAAGTCATTACGTTGATGAATGTGAAATATATATGTATTGATGGTACAACTTCCTGTTTGTAACATTAAAATGACTAGAGTAGGTGGTACGAGCGATTTATAATCGTTCAACATAGATATTTTATAAATTCATAATGGTGATATTTTGTAAATTTATAAATTCTGAATATTTAAATGATTTATTTGTAAAGTATATGAATAAAAATTTTTGCTCTTGTATTACACAATTTTTGATTTCTTTAATGTAGGTGCATTTTATTCACCGGAAATTCTAAACTTAATATGGCTTCCAAAAGGCGGTCATTGATTGGCCAGAATGTTTAACGTCGTTTTCCGTTTGAACGGACAGGAAAGCAGTGCGATGAAAATTTGATTGTGAAACAGTTAATCATTACGAATTGTTTTCTGTATGCAGTTGGTGAAATACAAGAAGAAAAGTTATAATATTATTAGATGGATTTATAGTGGAGGAAACAAGTATTATACATCATATTTTAAGAAAAGTTAAAAAAGAATGATCACGTTTTTTAAATTTTCAATATCAATCTTCTAACGTTCGTTATATTTCGTGAGAAATGAATGATATTTGTGTTTGTGTAAGTATACGAAAGTAGAATCAGACGAATTAAATATAAAAACTTGAAAATTTTTATGTAATTATAAAATATAATCTTTTTTCAAATGTTAATTTGAAAAAAAAATACGTAAATTGATACTTGTTATAAAAATCAAATTGCTTCTCAGAAATAATTCTATCTTCTCTCTGTCTCTGCAAAAACGCTGATTGCTTCTGTAATATCTTCCAGGATCACCGTATTTTCTCTGCAGTCAACTGCCAACTCACTGGCGGTCCAACAAGACGCTTCCTGTGGCGTTCAAAGTTGTTGCACTAGGCGAAGTCGTCGATGGAACTCTGGTGACAGTACGAGCGGGTAACGACGAGAACTGTTGCGCTGAACTGAGAAATTCCACTACCTTGATGAAGAACCAAGTCGCCAAGTTCAACGACCTGAGGTTCGTTGGGAGAAGTGGCAGGGGTTAGTATGTTAAATAATGATTTTCTCAACTCTTCTTTCCTTCAAGTATTTATTTCATTAAGTTCTTATTATTTTATTAAAATTTGTAGTAATATAATATAAAATATAAACTTTTGAAACTAATATCTTAGATCAACATCATATACTTATAAATGTAAACTTCTTTTAAGATTCTACATTTAAAAGAGCATGTCAGCTAATGGTTCGATCAAAGATACAGATAAACGATCAAAGCACGAGGCAACTGATTAAACAAGCCAATAGAGAGAGTTTAGTTTTGAGGTTTCGAGTGTCATCGTCAGTGGCAGTTTGCTTTGTAAGTCGTTGAAAAAGCAGCCAGTAAATTATCTACACGAGAGAGACATGTACCGTGATTTCGAACCCCCTAAAAGCACGGTTATTGTAATCATCATCGTCATCAACTGGCTTCAAACCCCGCTTGACTCGTCTCTCGCTTTTAAACCCTCCGCATCCGCGAGTTCCCTCGCATCCCGCCGCCCCCAGAGTCATTACTCGATGTCCGCCGGTAGCCCCGACCTAGCATCCGAAACAACTGGCCGTTAATCAGAAATCATCGTCCGTCGGCCAGAGAAAAAGATTGTAAGTCTCGAAAATCAAGCAAATTCGATCAGTATTCTTATCTTTATTATAAAAGAATAACGTTAATCTTTTATTTATTTATTTCCAATTTTTAGTTCATTTATTTATTTCGTTAATTTAGCATATTCTTAGCTCTTTTGATTAATTTACTTTAAAACTTAATCGAGGAGCTTTCTAATAAATGTATCATAGATTTATGATAAGTAGCTATAGTGGAGTGCAAAAGTTTCTATTTCAAAAGCAACATTTTGTTTATCGTGCTGTTTATTTATTATGTTGTTTCCTTCACTTACCATGTCTTTACACTTAATATTACACTTAATTACGTGTAATATAAGATACCTGAAATTCTTTTAAAGAATTTTGGCTTTATACTTGTTCTTGGAGTATGATCTGGAATTCATACAGCGCTGCCGAGTGTATTTTCTAGTTAAATAATTAGAGTTTGTTTCCAAAGAACAAAATTTTTTAACAGTTAGTACAACATCAATTAAAGCGTAGTTAATGTCAAAAAGGTAAACCTTTCTGTTAGAAAGCTCTTCAAAGATACACAAAGAGTCGAAAAATTAACCAGAAATGTTAAATATCTTCTTTGCAGTTTGCACTTCACGTTAATTCGCTGTTCGGAAAACCGCAGTTGTTAAACTGCTTCGAAAGATATAGATGAAGCTCCAATGCAGAAATTAAATCGTGCCAGCCGCGAGCAAAATTACACGTATCACGGGAACTGAGCTTTTAATAAATGATTGCCAAACGGGTTGATCGACCGGAAGTTTTTTAAATAATCCGTTTTTACGTCGATTAAGTCGCAGATTTCAAGGACGCTTGCACACGTCTACCGGTGAGGATTATCTACGGGCCAGCAGGTAAATTCATCCGGTTCTACAAATGCATTTTGCACCCCACGCATCGTACGATGCATTTATGAATTAACGAGCTGGACTGCTCGCGCTCGAGCTGCACGTTCGTCGATAGCATCATCTATGTTTCATTCGATTTCATCATGAAGTGCAGGGTCAGTGAGGCTCCATCCACCTCCTGACACCGGACACGCTATCCCCCGAAATCAATTAGCGAAAGGGACATGTCCCTCGCCGAAATCCTTCGATCCCTTTGTCTAGTTTTTGGTGTGTGTATTTTTTTGTTTTTTTTTCCTTTTTTTTTTTTTGTTTTGTTCACTATCTCTCCTCGATAATCCGTAATACTCAATTTCGACGATTGACCAAACCACCCTCGTACCAGCCGCGACCGGCCAGTCTACCTACCCTCCTATCATCGAGGTTTTGTTTCCGCGACTTATTAATTTGATTGAATCCTACCGCACCGCTCCGATTCCCCCCTTTCGATATCGTCGATTCGTCCAAGGAATTCAGTGGAAAATTCGGAAGCGTCGAACTTGAAATTTCCTCGTACAAGATATTAAGAATTTGTCAAACCAAGTCGAACAATCACCGAAGTTTGGTCAGATTAGATTAACCAACAACGTATTCTAGTAACAAAACGAAGTATAAAGAATCCCATATAAATTGTTAAGAGATCTCTCTCCAATTTTCCCTGTTAATATCGTCGTTTTGTCGATAGGAATTTGGCACAGGAATTTGGAAGCTTCGAATTTGAAATCGGACTGGATTGACCAACAACATGAATATTTTAATAACATAAAACGAAATAACTACAAAGAATTAGGTGAACCATAATATATACAAGATCACTGTTAAAAGTAGAAAACGAGAAACTAGTAAGATGTTTGTTGCAATTATCACCTTCCCTGAAGGGACGACGTTTCTTCCGCCGAGTGGTAAACGGGAAGAAAGAGAGGGAGGGAGGTGGTAGCGCCGGATCAAAGAGAGGAGCTGCCAGAGGTTGAAACGGGCGTTCCATCATCGTCGGGACCCGAGGCAAGCCCTCGTGCCTATAATTAGTAATATACCGCAGTCTATATCGACACGGCTGAAATTACCACCGATAGTAATTATTTGACAATTGCAGAGACATCCTGTTGCGAGACTCGGGAATCGGGACCTTCGTCCCCGTTCCACCGAACCCTTCGCTTTTCCATCCCAGCTTCTAGCTCTCCCACTTGGAGAGTGAGTAGACACCTAGCCCTACGCCCGATTCCCTCCTGCTCCTCTCTCCCTCCCTCTCTCTCCCTCTCCCTCTGGTGCCACGAGTATTAACGGACGGTTTCGAGTGGTTTCGGATGGTTGTGTGGGCGGTTTGGGATGGCGTTCATCTCATCCTCGGCACCGTTGGAAACGCACCGACACACCGAAACGAGCCCTGAGTCGCGCTGAATAACCGGCGATGTGGTGCACGTTATATAGGTGGCACATACGCGTGGCCCGGTTTTGTCTGTCGGTCTGTCCGTCCGTCGTTCGCGAATGCACAGCCTGGGTGTCCTGTCTCTGCAGATGACCGTTCCCATCATCGAGTATTAACCGCAGGTCTGGCCATCGGGTGGGGGAAATCGGCCGTGCGGCATTATTAGCCCCAAATGCGATGGACTCGGACGATAGAGGGAAAGGGGCACTTCGGGTGTCGTGCGCGAATTCCCTTCCTATCGTCGCGTACGGTACCGACTCGATCAGCTTCCGATACTTTTCACGCTTTTTTCCCCTCTTTCGTCGTTTGTCCTCTTTCGTCTCTTCTTACGGCCACCATCCGGCTTCTATAAACTATACGATTGAAATTAAAAGACGCGAGTGAATCAGAGATTTTAAAACTTTGCCAAGAACGGCCTATGTTCGCCTAGAATAATAGAACAAAATTTCATCTAGAGTAACGAGACGAGCGCTTTGCGCCGAGTTGCTACATTTACAATTGTCAAAAAAAANAAAAAAAAAAAGAAGAAGAAAGAAAAAAATTTGTATCCGCTGTCCGGTCCATCAACGATGAGCGTTGTCATCCACGGCCGCGGTAAGAGCGGAAAGACAAACGTAACGGTGGTGCACGAACGCGATCGATGCGGCTAATCGATTTTAAAGCGAAAGCCAGAAAGAGGAACCGCGACACGCGCGATTTTTGGTGTTCTGAAACGAGCCACTTTGCGCTGGACCGAAACGATGACGATAACAAGGATGCAATGACGGGCGCGAGAGTGACAGCATCGCGGGCTCACGGGGGTGCAATGGGGGTGAAACAAGGGGCGGAAGGGGGAGGGTGGAGAGTGAGCGGTTGCACGCGGGGGAAAGGGTACGCTATAACTAGGATATAACGCCGTGCCTCTCTGCAGTCAGTTGCAGCTCCCGGGGGTGGCGGGGTTGGGGGTGTTTGATGCCGGTTATCATGTTGACAGACACAGCGAGGTGGACCAGGGTGCACCAAGGGGAGACAATTACAAATCGTTGACGTTTACGCCAACACAAACGACTATATGTCCGCGACACGTTAGATATCCTCTCTTTAACGCAAATGAAGAGCCTTCGTCGTATTTTCGCCCGATGATGATCGTCGAATCTCGTGCTCCAGATTCTCTTCGGCGTTTCCTGGTTTGGTTTAGACTCCGGGATTCATTTCTTAAAACTTCAAGATTAACGTTTGTAGAGATAGATTGTAAAACTGTTTTACAATAGCGCAGTTTTAAATTTTGTTTAAGTATTGTTGAACAACCCCGTGATCTTCTTTGGTTTTGGAGTTGAATACGTGGGGTTGATGACAAACTATTGGAAGATTTTTAAGAGACTTGCATATTTAGTGTCCAAATACTTTCATGAACCACTGTATACGCCATATTAAAATATTTCTTTTCATTCGTGAAAATGATGTTAATTAATGACAGGGAAATTAACAAAAATGAAGTGTTTTTCGTACGATCTTCGTTGAAAATCAAAGAGTCACAACAAGACGATCAATACCTTCTACCTATAAAAGCAATCTATTTTTAAATGGACCGTGCTGACACAAAGTGAATTCAGAAAAAAAAGAGGCTATAATCCGGTTGACTTTAGCATCGGAAAGAGACAAGAGGCTGTTTCGTTGGGACAGGCAGCGAATTGCCAAATACATATTAGCGCGCGATGGACCGTTTAAAAAAGCGTAGTCATTCTTCGCGACGGACGTTTATGGAGAGGGAATTAATATACCGGACCTTCAACTTCGAGACCTTCATCGGTGATGTATGCACACCGGTGCTCCACCCCCGGAACATCCTCTTCTCGCCGCATTAGAGAGTCTGCGCGCTCTAAGAAACTCGCGGTCTCTCGGAACCTAATGGACGTGGCTGTAATTGCGGGACGAAATCGTAAAGTATTTAGATCGCGATTCGCTCTTGGCTTCGCTGACCACAGGATATAGCTCTGTCGCGAATTTGTTTACAACTCGATAGGTAATATATTCCTCCTCTAACTAGAAATCTTATTACTTGTTCTTACACACTGTGTATTGTACAAAAAAATTCATTCTTTATTTATTCAAATGTTTCGATAATTTTAGAATTTCGTTAGTTAATAAATGATTTTTAGGAATTTCATTACTCCTATCTATGCAGAATTTCGAAACTGAGGTTTTATTATTCCCAACAAATGTTTCAAATATTTCGACGTACATCCCTATTTAAAAATCTTAAAGCAAATTGGATAAAATTTTAACTATGTAGTTAAAATGTATCTATACGAATGAGTAATAATTTTAATACATTTATAAAAATTATACGTTACTAATATATCAACGATTTTATGAAACAACCTATATAATGTATATAATAAAAGGTAATATATTTCAATGCTCTCTTTTTTCATCGTGTTTTACTCTTTCTGTTTTAGGCAAAAGCTTCAGTATCACGATCACAGTATCAACGACACCACCCCAAGTGGCCACGTACACGAGAGCCATCAAGGTGACTGTCGATGGGCCCAGAGAACCACGTTCCAAAACGAGTGAGTAGATCAAACACTTTCCATTCTCTAGCAGGGTCGTGGATCGCGAGATCTATCCGCGACCACCGGCTGCTACTATCCGTGGATTCCCTGAAAATGTACCGATAATTCAACGAAAGTCCCTATACGCGGTAATGGGAAGTCATTACCGAGCAGATGGTGCGCGATGATGCAGTGGTCGACGTGCGTACCACGCGTATGCGTGTTTTGGGTTAGCTATTCACCAAGCTGTACTACATAGACAATGCTTTTACCAGCACACTGCCGCGTGAAAAGTAATCCACTTACCGTAATATACTATGAAAACCTCCAAAAATATCCGTTAATTATCGATGCTTGACCATGCTTAATAACCGGCGTCGTATGATGCGTATTTGCAATACCGGCTTGATATACAAATAACTGAAACCGTTTATATACTGTTCACGTACCGTGTTCGTAATCACTTTAGAATTCCAGAAGAAGAGAAATTAATTCGAAATTATTGTGGAATTTATCTTGCTCGAGTGTAGATTGTTGATATATTTCTCATATTCTAACATAGGGAATGGAAAAATAGGTTCTTAAAAAATATTATGATTTCCAAAGATGTTCGTTTATTACCGTTGCTTAATCACGTTTAAGAACATGGAACGATGTACAATTGTGATGTTACACTTAATTGAAACTACCTTTTGCAATTTTCTTAGGCTTTGGAAAGAAAAGGGAGGAAGTTGGAAAATTTTTCAGATATTTCACCTTAATCGACTTAAGGCTTTCCCGATGCATTTTGATATCTGATATAAAACAGAGCAAAAGTTTTTAAAAATTACCACATATTGAATATCTGGAAACCGCGAGGATAACTGGACACGCGGAAAGACCAGAGAGGAATAATGAAAATAATTTCGTTGAATCTGGAAATATTCAAACTTCAGCAGTTTTTGATTATCCGTTGCCGGTTTCACATAATGGCTCCACAAAATGTAAATTTATTTCCATAAATATTTGTCGACGATACCTACCGGTGTAGGGTTGCATCGAGGAGAGAGGAGTTTTCAAAAATACAGAACAATTGTGTCCCGGGCTTAAGCGAGCGCCACCAATTTCAGGCTTCCATCCGTAGAAAAAAAAAATGCCTGTTATTTCGATATCAGATTAATAGCCGCTGCGGAGTCGACCACGAATACGGCAGCTTTTTGCGGACGTTTCGCATTTGTTGTATAAAGTATTGATAGGCGTAGGACGATGCGTGCCCACCAGTCTCACAGATTTTTTTTTTTTTTTCACCGCCGTTGTTTTTCGAAATGGTCCGGCGTGATTGATTTTTCTAACGTTTTTATCGTTCGTTCACGTTCCGCAGGCCAATCGACGCACGCCTAAGCGTAGAAATCTATAATAGTCGTCGACTTTGTTGCGAAAATGTACATTTTTCGCGATCGAAACGAACTTTGATCGGGCAGGAAGACAGAATAGAATTTCTAAATATTTATTTGTTAATAGAGAAGGGCTGACAGTTGTCTACGCGCTTGACGTGTTTGATCGTATGCACTTTGGTCGGGAAAAATCAAAACAAGCAAATTGATGTTTTTTTTTTTCGCTGTTTTTCTGACTGACCTGATAGAGATCAACGGAATATGGAAAAATTGTTTATAGTCGAAAAAGAACATAGATTGCATTTAATGTTTCGGATGAATATTTTGTTTAATTTCAAAGGCCAAGCAAAGCCAAACGATGCTTGAGAAATCATCAATTTTTCTTCAGAAATCCAAGCTACTCTCGTTAAAGAAGATAATCGACCTGTGTGACAAATAGACACATCTTCAATTTCAAAAATCATTCATCAAAGACTGAAACAATTCACTATCCAAAAAGCCGTTCTTCTTCAGTCCTCAGAGATTCAAGATTTTGTAGTGGAAGCAAATAACGTTCGTCTTGTGGTGAACAATCCCTTTGATTCTAAAGATCATTCGCTGAAAGATTGCAGTACCTAGGGAACCAGAACTACTTCTCCAATTCCCAAAAGATCCATACTTTCCAGTCGGAGTAAGTAATCCAGCGCCACGGTGAATTATATCTAATACCAATCATCATTCACCAAATCAAATCTCCAGAGATTCCAACACCTAAATTAAATATCAAAACAATTCAGGATATAAAGATGAATAAACCTTCGTCGATCTTCAAAGACCCAAGATCTTCCGTAGTCGAAGCAACCAACTGACTATGAGCGTGACAACGAGCGACATCGTCCGAGGAGGCAGACAGACGTGCGACGCGTGAAAACTATTCCAGACGGTGATCGCCCGAGCGGAATCCGGCGGATGAAAGGAATCGACGCCCGAGAGACAGGACACGCATCACGACATATTGCATACACGAATTTCGGGCGGCGATGGCGTGGCTGCTCCTGGCCGTGGCACGCACCAGGGACAATCTATGTAACGACCAGCGTACGAGCGCCGTCGGGCAAAACAACCGGCGCTTTCATTGTCCTCGCAACGATGGCGAAGCGCGCCGGCTCCGCAGACACCTGCCGGCTATCATTATTGCGTGGATAATCGTGAGCTTTTTGTTATCGAAAATCACCACCCCTGCCCGCCCCATTTTTCGACCCTGTCCTCCCTTCTTTCTCTCCCGCCCGTCGGTCTCGCCTCACGACCGGCTGTTTCACTGGTAATCGTGCAATTTCTGTAATTCTGCTGGCCCGTCAGCGCGTGTAAATACTGCAAACGCGGTCACCGTAGCCTGGAACGACACGTAACCGAATTAACGGGCTACCAAGGCTGCGACAGCCTGACTGGAACCGTTTGAACGTATCAGGAACCTCGAGAAATTGGCAGAAGTTACCTTCGCGTTCTACGTTTTAAGCTTGGTCTATAGGCAATTTATAGTTCAGCGTGTGACGTTTGCACCTTGGACACTTTGGTTACGTTGCTTTCGTATCAGTCTGGAATAGAGTTCGAGTTCGACAGTGAAGAGTCACTGCTCTGAACTTTAAGCTTCATTGTATTAGTCAATCTTTGTATCTTTCGTAATAATTCCTCTCCGAGAGTATCGATACTTGGTAGACTTGTATTAGTTTCGGTCTACGTTGGAGTAGAGTAGATGATGAGGAGTTATTATGCGCTTTAAGCTACGTTTAAAACGTCAATATATTTTTCTTAATAATTCTTAATGTTTCTTAATATTTTCGTGTCAATCACGTGAAGTTCTGGTTGCTCTTCAATTGTAAAAAAACATTTGGCCAATTCCTCGATCATGCCTGAAAACGAAAACGAATGGGAGAGATAGCGATGAATCGGGTGGAATGAACGGAGAAAAGGGAACGAAACAAAGTGGCTACCGGGTAGCCGTCACCGTGGCCGAAAATCATCGAAACGTTCCCGGCAAAACAATATCGATGGATCGGCCGCTGTCAGTCAAAGGTTGAAATTGAATTTGCTTGGCTAGTAATTGCTCCGCGTTTGGAATTTCGATTAGACGGGGAATACACGACGCGTTTCTCTCCCTCTCTCTCTCTCTCTCTCTCTCTCTCTCTCGAAATCATTTTCCATGCCCTCATAGAAAGAAATCCTGAAATTCACGACCGTGTACGTTCATCCCAGGCTCAAGTGTTGCAACTGTGATTTGAAATACTAAAAGAAGAAAAAGGAAGAAAATCAACTTTCATTCTTAAATAGTTGGACGTATAACACGGTTAAATATTAAAATCGTATGTTGATCGTGGATTGAAAAAGCACGTTTCTAGGAGATTGTCTGAATGGATCGAGAGAAATCATGGGTTATCGAACGATAATACTTCCAGTGACCGTTCATTGAAACTGTAGAGATCGCAATTAAAGTAGACTTTCGTTAAAAAGAAAAGAGAAAAATAAAGAATTCATGAAAACAATATTAGAAGCAGATAGTTTCTACGAAGAGAGAAAAGAACATTTTTCTCAGAAGATACCACGTTTAGACGAGAAATTTTCACAAAGGTGGGAAACTCATGGAACTAACGAGGAAAATAGAAATGATTCGAGCAAAAATCCTCGAAATGCTGGCAGATCGCGACGCGAAGAAGGACGTAAGACGAGCGGAGGGAGGGGTCCATTATTAGAGAGAAGGAAAAAAGCCGCGCTATTTCCGTCCTCTGGGGCTGCCACACTTTGATTAGATAAGCCCACCACTCGTGCTGCGGAGATTGGAATTATTGTTCTCTCTGCCTCTCTCTCGCCCTCTTCGTCTCTCTACTTCACCATGTTCCACGAGCAGAACGAAAGGGCAATCGGTGAAGGTGTTATATCACGATCGTTCTTGTTCATTGTAATTAACCGCCTTTCCGCTTCTAGATTCGGATAGCAGGTACGTTTTCAGATATCCTGAACAGGCACGACGCGATAGCCATGTCAAACCTTTGTGATCCAACATTTGAAGAGATCCTTGCTGCTCCGATGTTGAATCTAGCGAACAACGATCCTCGTTCAGGTGTGTTAGATTCGTCAAATTCTCTTACACTGTTGCGAAAGATATAAAATTAACTAAGCACAACGATTTTCAGGTCGAGTTGCTTCTTTCGTTCGCGCGTAGCATACTTAATGTTAATTCTTCTTATTTCATTTCTTTTTAGTGAAAACATTGTTGGAAGAGATACAAGGATGTCATTCGTCGTTCTTTCACTTAATTCGTCTCATTCTCTTTTGATATTAACACTCTGGAATGATACACGAGAGACTGCAGAAGCAAAATTCACGAGAGGAACTTTTGGAAACTTAATGGATAACTGAAGTACACATTGTTATATCAAAATTGGTCATCAGTCATTACACATTCGATTTCATTCTCTGAATATTCTTCAGAAAGCTACTGTATCAACTCCATTCATTCTGCAACGTGTTTGACGATCATCACGCTTTTACATCCACAACCACAGATGTTAGAAGAAATCTCTCGTGGAAAAATTCGTAGGAAAAGTCACCACGCGTTGAAGCATCTTCTTCTTTTGTAGGAAGGACGAAAGTGCGCTGCCTCGTTCTCCTCCGTCGCGATCCATCATCCATTCTGAATTATCCGCCGGCGTGCTGCATCCCATTCTACTTTGCTCCTCTTGAATGGAAACACCACGGCGGCGAGCCGATCCAAAAAGATTGTCGGCCGATACGTTTGGGGCATTACGAGCGTCCGGTACGTGAGAAGTCGTGGGATCCGGTCGCGGAGTCGAACACGGAGCTCCCTTGTTTCTCCTGGCCGGCGATCGTGGTAGTCGGTAGCGAGGAATAATCTTGTAGGCATCGGTTGGCGCACCGGAGCTGACCATCTGGGCTCACCGACAATTTCGTGCAGTTTGCGGTCGAACTTTATTTGTCGTTCGCCCTCGTGGCCCGAGTCTTTCTTCCTCTTGCAGCCCCGCGCGTTTCCTTTCCTCTTTCCACTGTTTATTCCCTCGTCTTTCTTTTCGTTCTTTCTCTCGCTGGTGGAATAACAATTTGCGTCTCACGAGCCCCCATTCTTCGCTTTCTCGCTGGTACCAAGAGCAAAAGGGGAACACTATGCTCCACATTTCTGGACCGACGAATGGGAAATGAAACGGAAGGATTTCCTTTAGAAGAAGAAATGCTCTTCGAGAATTTCAATACATAGTTCACTCTGTCCTGATCCTGTGTATTCCAAGTGTATTTCCAAGCTCGGGGGAAATCTTTTTTAAAGAAACAATGTAGAAAAATTATCGAAACGTAACGTTCGGGGATTCTAAAGACTGTACTGAAAGACGTACACAACTGCCAAACTTTTCTATTTACTAAATTATCGAAAGATCTCTCTCGAATCGATACCTCGCGGATAAAATACCATAGGTTACATAGCCAGCCTAGTGATTTTGCCACTGAACGTTCTGTTCAGTGATTACGTAAGCAATCGAGCCTATGCACGTGGCGCATAATGTGCATCGCCGTATAACGATACACACGGACTGTATGCATATTGCGACCCGCCCCAATAGAGAATCGCCGTGTCCGCTGCGTATACTATGCAGACACCGACGATACTTGGCTCTGCCCGGAGGGCTCCATCAATTCACTGGCGGCGGTTGGAATGTGCGAGGAATGCTATTGAAGTCGATCGAGAGACACGAGCCACTCGAGTTTCTTAATTATCCCTCTCTATTGGGCTAATTGCACAAACATCTGACTCTCCTTGTCTCTATGTTCTGGACGCTGGACGTCCTTGCTTTGGGCAGCGAGATTTTTTTCTTAAATCTCCGTTTTCTTCTTATTAGATGTCTGCACTGTTACAATACAGTTGTGTTGTTCTTGAATTTTTACAATACATTTTAATCTTGCGAAAGATTCTCTTTCAACGATTTATCCATTAACAAGTTTAGAACAGATAAAGTCTCTAAGTCCATCAATTGACGTGACATTGTTTCAAATTTAAATATATAGAGTATAATCTTTCAATCTTACAATTAAAGAAACAGAAATGACTAGTATGAAGAACAGACTAGTGTAAGAATAGTATGCAAGAGGATTAATGATCTGCGTTCAGTTTGATTTAAAGTAAAAATAAATCCACAGGATGGTAGATTGATAAAATTTGAGTAGAGTTAAAGAAAAACGTGTTATGTTTATTTTTCAGGGCAGACACATATCCCTGGACTGGCGCGAGTTCCTGCACTGCCCCGGGTTCCTGGACTGGCGCGAGGGACCTTCCCCGACGCATCAAGCCCGTTCACTCCCTACCTACGGGAATCAGAACCGTACAGGAGGAATAAGCATCACGTCGGCAACAACGTCACCGCGAATTCGGTTAGTGGTGCCTGTACCAACCCCAACAACACCGATCCGACCGCATCGCCTGCTTCCAGTACACACCTCGGAGCTAATAGTGGCTCCTCGGCTCATCAAGATTGCTACAAACACAGTCCTCAGCACGGTGGTGAGTCTTACATCTTCTGCTCTACCTTTCGTGCTTCTTTGTCAACGTTTGTTGACGTTATAGACTAATGTTTTTTTGATGGTATGACTAATTTTTGACATATTGGTCAAATGTAAATTATAAAACAACAAATTCGTGGAAAAATAGTTAAAAAATAAAAGCAGTGGGAAACATTGAGTTCATACATATACTATACTTATCTAGGTACTCGTATATAGTAGTCGAATTAGTAAAATATCGTTTAGGTTATTGAGAAATTCAACATCTTCGTATATTTAATATCTTATGAATTTGACGTTTGTGTAACATAGTATGTATTAAGTTTCAAACGCTCGTAAATTTCATGAATTCTATATTGTTCTGCAACTTTGATAATAATGACGTGATTTCCTTCCTAATATGTTTAAAGGATTGATTGAGACAGAGATATGAGACAGTTTTCGCCGATTTCTCGTTACAATGTTATACAGGTTGCAGAACATAAACGAAACGGATCGATTCGAATCAGAATGTCCAAGCTACGTGGCTGATTAATTAACAGAGCCACTTGCACAATTGCAGTAATATTGTTAGTGAAATTTTATGAGTCACGAGTTAATATATCCTGTTGTATAATAGTAACAAGTCTGTTAGTAGAACGAATGGAATTTCATACTTAATTACATAAATGAAAAGTCATTTGGTTCCGTCCTTCCTCATGCGAAATTACGAACTGTAAATGAGAAGTCTGTGCAATTGTACCCTATCAATTCATTAATATCGTTAGCTAGTTAATTAATAACGTTACAAGTTGTAGATTATAAATTTCTCATTTACAGTTTCACAATTTCACGTAAAACAGATTTTACGTAAAATAATAACATTTAAATTGAAATAATAACATCTATGTACCTGTAAACTTGTGTTGTGACAAATATTTATTAACCTCGATGAAATTTCACTAGTAACATTAGAAAAATTATGCAAGAGAGGTTTCTGTCAAGTTAGTGACTCGCCAAGTCCTGTTCTACTTAAAACTATAAGTGAGAAGGTAACAATCTACAGCCTGTGACTCGTCCTTTCGCTAATTACTAATTTGTAAATTAGCAAGTCGCGGGTCGTGGATTACAAACTTCTTCTGTAGAATTTTATAACTTCTTACACAACATGCGACTTATACTTTCATTTGTTTCATTATAAAACCTGTTGCAGTTGTGCAACAAAATATATTAACTTTTAACTATTGAAGAACGCACTGAACATGTGTAATTGTACATTTTTGAACAGAATCTGAATGAAAATCCGCAATCTACTAAATAACAACAGCTCTGTCGTAAATAGTTCACATATTATTACACATAGTATTCAAAGTTAAATTTCACAAAAACGCAAAAGTCCAAATTTCTGCTGTCAAATCTTTTTCTCTAATTTTTTTTAATGATCCTAGTTCGATCGAGTAAGAGCGAAAAGATGGGGGTCGTGTCTTCCGGTCTGTTTGCTCCTTTGGTTTCCATAGCGGATATTCCTCGGGCATCATCATCTTTTCGCTCACTACCAGCATCCTCGTGGCTCGTGCAGCGACTCGAAACTACGCACAAACCCCACCCAACCCCTTCTCCTCTATCAAAATGGGGAGGGGTGGAAGCTGATGGTGAGGGATCAAGAGAGAGGGAGAGGTAATAGTTTCATACCTCGTTCCGGCTCTGCACCCTCTAATTCAACGTAATAACGACATTCAACCTGCCGTTTCCATCTCTTCTCTCGCTGATCTCCGCCACGATTCACCGTTGCGTCTCTCTAGCACGAGGCAAAAGTGTCCTGTTGCACTCTCGTTGCACTCGCCAAACAGACTTACCCGCTACGTCGATTCCGTTTTCTCGGCGTTTATCATAAATCGTGCCTAGCTCGCCTCCAGAGCGAAAGGAGATCGTTGAAAGTTTTTTTAACTTCCCAAGAGTGGGAAATATTTTCTCGTGCATGTTTTGAAATATGCTACACTTTGAGTGGTTAATTATTGAACTGTCGGTTTTCACGCACTTGTAAGAAAGTATCTTAATATTTCTGTACAAAATTGTATAGATAATATACGTGACACGAAATAATAATACAATTGTAATAGTAAAACGTAGGAAACGTAGAATTCAGAAACAATAATTGAAGGGGAAAATTCAACTTCTTTCAATCACGGACAGTTCAAAAAATGAACATCTATGGGAAAATTTGTAATAAGAATTGAGAAAACACGCGAATCTCAAGGGCGATGTGTAATTTGAAACATCGGAATTGATGTCGTTTTCATACGACAAAACGAAAAATTTCATCGTACCGAGATGAGTTAAGAGGTTCGAACGATATAAATTGGCTTGGACAAGGTTGGACGGTAATTTTCGAAGGAATATTTCGAAGAGGCAAATATGGTGGTATCGGGAGTCGATAATTCAAGATGCAAAAAGGCGGGAAACTCGGCAGCCACTTTATTTCTGCGTGGCTCGTCTCGCATCAGCGGTCTCGACCTGATCAAAGTTAAGTAGACGCGCCCCTGGCTGGCAAGACCTCTTTGAAGCTACGTTGCGGTTTCTCTTTGCCCTAATCTCCTCCTCCTCGTCCTCCTCTTCGACCTCGGCTACCTTCTCCGTCGATCGTTCCTACCTTCCGGGCCAACTTTGCGCTGCACCCGTGTCACCTTCCTGGATCGGCCATTGTAATTACCTCATCTAGAGTAGCGAACTTTCTCTCATCTTTCTTCTTTGGCTCTTGCTTTTGCAAGACAGTGGTTTCCGTCTTTTCTCTCAAACGACGAGGTTATGTGAGGATTACAAGACGACAACGCGATAACTCACGTTTCAGGTTTTCTTTTTGCAATAATTTCTCGTAATCAAAATTGCTTCGAGTCGCCTGCATAATTCTGCGATCCAGTCCGGATATTTATCACAGTTTATTGATTTCGAATTTCATCAACTTCATCAAAAGACTTGCAAACATGGTCTTGGACCCATTAGATTTAGTTTTCATTTTCAGTTCCTTCTTTAATTGTGTAATAATGATATTACAAGAAGAAGAACATCTCCTATTAACTATTTTAGTATGCCCTCCAACAGTCAAGAAAATAGTTAATTTTCGTCTCTTCTTCACTCTGAATCTCTCCATAAGTCACAATTATGTTTTTCCAACTGAACGATCGTCCGCTCGTAATGCTCGCATTATCACGCTTATCACATGAATGGAAATAGTGTGGCGAAATGCTTCATTTACCAGTCAACCCATTCATCTCTCCTCTCTTCTTCTTCTTCTACTTCTTCTTCTTCCTTCTCCTCCTCCTCTCTCTCTCTCCTCTTCTTTTTCTTCTTCTCTTTTCCTCCTGTTTCTTCGCGCCTAATGAGCAGATTCAAGGGCCTGGGCACACGTACGAATGAGCGCAGAGAGTGCGAAATGAGCGTCGGTGGATGCAATTTTCTTCCTCATCCTTCTTGCCTCTGTTGTGGCCAATTCCCTCTCTCCCTCTCTTTCTCTTCCTGAGCGTTTTCGAGTCAGGGCGCCGATTCAGAGAGATGCACCTCTGAATTTACAGTCGGTGCAACCTACAAGACAGCACCGGTGCGGCTCACGTACTACTCACGTGCACGTCTGCGTAATACCAGGGAACGATCGATCGCTTCTCGATCGATCGAGAGCTGGATCCATGTTGTTTTTGCCGTTCGCTGCTGGCAGCCAACTCCTCCTTTTGTCTCGGGTTCGGTTCGCTTGCGATGCCAGACGTTGTTGAATCGAACCTCTTCCACTCCTCTCATCTTCTTCTTCTTCTTCTTCTTCGTAATCTTCTTCCTCCTCCTCCTTGCTATTTCGTCTCTCTTTCTGCACCGCCACCGGTCTCTCCTTCGTGATTGCTCTCTAAATCTCACCTACATGATCACTGCCGATCGTGACTCGGCCAGCAGCGTTTACACCGACTATGAATCGAACCGCCTTCTGCCTCGATAGACAGATAGAGGGAACTTTGAATGCTATTTTCGGTCAAATAAGATGTTTTCTTTCCTTTCCTCGATGAGAGAGTGACATCGATGAATTCCGTAGGATTTTTTTTCATTCCATTTATTATGGCTGAGAGAGTAGAATAAAATTAAAACAAAAGAACAATATTGGTGAAATTTGTTCGTTTTATTTTCTAATAATAAATGTTGATCACTGAAAATGAGAATTGTGGTCCAAGGAAAATATTCTTCTAGTGCGCGTGTGCGTTTGAGTAGATCGATCAGTTTGAAAATTCCTCGCAAAGAATTGCAAGCGGTGCATGTGGAATGAGATCGACAAGCAAGGAGATCACATCGAAAACTAATCCTACGACAAACTGTACAATTACATCGATAATTATTGAATTTTACCATGGTAAAATATTTCGTACGACACGTAAAATACAAGCGCAAAACTGTTCCACAGTAGCCGGCGCGCCAATCAGAGGAGCATTCCTTTCGCCAGCTTTCTTGCCAACCTCGAACAAGTACACCGTCTCTATTCGCGATAAACGCAACAGAAACGAGCTCGTACAGCAACAATCTCGGGGCTAGGAGGGTTTCTGCAGGTGAAGAAAAAAGGGAAGCGAGCGTTATTCCTGTCTCTTATAATATAACCGTGTCCGTTTCTCGTCTTCTTGCCTGGAGTCTCATCTCGAGTCGTGATCGGGGTAATAAGGCCCCGCCAGTGGCAAGCGGGGCTGAGTACCTGAAGAGCTGGTGCAGAGAATTGAAGGGAGGAAGGTTCGCGAGTCCTCTCTTGCCTGTTTCTCGAAACGAGAGGAGAGAACAGAGAGGGCAGGAGAGACAAAGACGCTGCTGACGCTGGTAGGGGTAAGGATGCTGATTATGGGGTGTCAAACAATCACGCTGATTGTATATTCTCCGCTGACTTCTTCTGTCGATGTTTACTTCGTAGATATAACCCGAAAGCTGTGGATCTGTCTTCCTTGTTTCCTTTTTCGACTTTTTTACCTTGCGATCGTCTCGTAGAAGCTTGGTAGAAGTAGAATC